CCTCCACCTTCCCTCTATCTTCCCTCCCCCTTCTGGATCGCAGTCCTTCCGTGTCGCTGTCGCCCCGCTTCTTTCTTCTCCGCCATCCCCTGGTCCTTTTGCTACTCCCGTTCTTTCCCCTCTTGCTGCTCCTGCTGTTCCTCCTCGTCCTCGTCATCCTCATTATCCTCCTGCTGTTCTTCCTGCTCCTCCTCCTCTTGCTCCTTCTGGTCGTCCGGCACCTCCTGCTCTAACGTACGGATCGTTCATGTTTCGGACTGCGCATAACACGGTGGTATTCTTCAGAGAGCTCCAGCCCCGCTATGACACCCGTAGGCGTATATACAAAACATAAGCGCAATGGTAACGGATGGGTGGAAGGGGTTGGATGTCAGATATGGCGCGGGCGCACCTAGTTTGCCTCCCCTCTCTCTCATTTTTCCTCCTTCCCTCCCCCCTCTTCCCCCCTCGTGTCCAAAACCCGGCGAACATCAGTGCTTGCTTGCCGCCTCGCCTTTTCGCTCGCGACGTGTCTTCATGCCCCCGGCGCCCAACAGACGATTTTGAAGTCGAATCGTTGGCGCGAGAAGGATTGCTTGCATTCGTGAGAAGCGCGTTCACCTAAACGTCGCACATTCGGCGTCCCGCAAGACACGGCCGTCTACGCGTTCGTGTCGACTATTCGTCGAGATCATCGGCAGGCGCCCAGGTCGGGCCCCCTGCCCCATGCATGTTGCAGGGACTTGAGGGCCAACGGGAGGGGCCAGGCCCCCCCCATGCCCTATGAGGGTGATGCGCATGTAGCTTCGTTGTTTTTTGAGGTTTGACATTTCATAGGTTCACAAAGAGGAGGTTCTTTCATGTATACATGGGTCCGAGGGTGAACACTTGAGGTTTTGATGCTTGACATGTTGCAATTGTCTGAAGTTCTCAAACTCTTGGATGTACAGTATGTGTTTGGTCCAATAGGTCAAACTGACCGTGCTCTTATTCCAGAGAGACACATATGTCATGTGTTCAAACTTCCAGTGTCTTCTAAATTGCCAAGCATGGCAAAACTGCTTCAACCGCGAAAACACGCCACAGCAGTTTGCCATTTCGAACAGTGTAAGTTTGAAGCGTGAACGATTGATCGTATTTGTAGTTTGAGCGTTTGAAGGTTTGACCATGCCAACGCGGTGTACAAAGACACATGGGGAACCGACGAACGTTTGTATGTATAATAATTGTTGTAAGTTTTAACCGGGGGCGTTCGCGAGTCTGTCAATCGTGTTTTGCGAAATGCAGGTATGCTCACATGTTTTGGAATATTTGTCGCTGCGGCCAGAGGGCGTCTAGGAGAGCGGAGAAGAGGGAGCTCGGTAGAACACCATAGTTGCGCAATCTCATCATTTGTTGTTGACCCGGAACTGCTTTCAGAGTTTCAAACATGGTTTCTGGATGCGCGCAGGCGGCGGAGGATGTGGGATTGGTAGGTTCCCCATAATCCGTAGTTGCGATGCGATTTTCTTGTGTGTTTTGAAACCGAGAAAGCGTTTCTAGGTTTTTACAAATGTTCCTTTGGGCTTGTGCAGGGCGAGGGAGGGGGAGCAGGAACGGCTGGCGGAAAATCGCCACTATATCGCAACTGTTTGTCATGTGTGCAGAGCGTCGTCATGGTCCTTTTCACTTTGCCCATCGCTAGGATCCCCCGTGAACCTCTCCGTGGCCCGGGCCTCCAGGTGCTTCGTCGTCCGTCTCCGCGCGTCTCCAGCAACGATTTTTAAAGAGTGCCCCTGTAATTAAGCAGTGTGACGGGCATTTCTGGTTTCTACACTGAGGGGGATCTGCCTTCGCGCTCAGTCCCCGGGGAGCGGGCTATCCGACGACGAACGTTGGTACGACGACGCCGACGAGCGTTGCAACGACGACGACGACCAGTACGACGACCACGACGGCGACGAGTGTCTCGGCGAGGACGGGTACGAGCGTTGCGATCGCAACGGCGACGACGGTGACGACGATATTGACGAACACTGCGGCGGCGGCGGTGACGATCGCTGCGACGGCGACGGTGACGAATTTTAAACCGACGAAGACGAGCGTTACGACGGCGACGGCAGCGACGAGCATTGCCGAGACGATGGCGAGCGTGCCGACGACCGCGGCGACGCGGAGCGTTGCGATGACGGCTCCGTTGAGTTTCACGACGACGACGATGAGCGTTTCGGCGACGACAGCAACGAACGTTGCGACGACGACGCCGACGGGCGTTACGACGACGACGGCGACGAGTGCTACGGCGACCAAGGCGGCGACCGCCACGAGGGCGATGGCGAGCGTTGTGACGACGGCGGCGAGCATTCCAACGACAAGAGCGACGGGCGTTCTGACGATGACGAACATTACGGCGGCGACGACGGCCACGGTCGCTTGGTGCGTTGAATGGCGGTTGTGGTTTAGCGGCGCATTCGTTTTTGGAGCTGTCACCGACAGCATGATATGGGTGGAACTGTTCGGAGGAACGGCTGGCGGAATGAGGATGATGATGAGCATGTGTTGATGGTGGTGTTTCAGAGTCCCCTGGGCCTTCCCCTGAGAAGCATAAAAGCCAACCACGATTTTGCACACGATTTTGCAATACGATTTTTTGGGGCGACTTGCCTGAGACACCTCCACGAAATTTTTGTTTGCCAGAATTGTATTTGAAATCGTTTCGGATCGGGCGCCAGATTCTAACGCAAATCGTTCTCTCTAGGCGTAGGGTCTCATTTCGAAATCGTGCTGGCGGCTCGCGGACCCCGCATTCAGAATCGTAGGGGCGGATCCTGAAAATCGTAGCCAAAATCGTCGTGGGGTAGTTTGAAAATCGTAGGGGCGGGTGTTCAAAATCGTAGCCAGAACCGTCGGGGCGGAGGTTGAAAATCGGAGTAATGATGTTGATGAAAGGCCGTGCCTTTCCGGCCTTGAGGCTGGAAAAGTTTAGCTTCAAGTACCCTGCTTTGAGGCCTGAGATTTTTCGCCTGAAATGTCCGGCCTCGCTGCCGGAGCGGTCCAACCCCAGGGCCTTATCTTGTCATGGAGCGGTCAGTCCATGCATATAGTGCCGTGGGGTAGCTCCAAGAAGACTCCAAGAAGGCCTAAGAGGATCCCGAGAGGGCTCCGGGAGGGCCCCAGAGGCCCCAAGACACGCCCTTGGAGGCTTTAGACGCTCCTAGAGTCCCCCCGCGGTAGAGGATTTTAAACGGACGTTTGAGATACTCTACGGCGGGGGCCCCAAGAGGGCGCCAGGAGTGCCCCAGGAGAGCTTCAGGATGGCCATAAGATGGCCCCAAGAGAGCTCTAAGAGGGCCCCAGAGGCCCCAAGAGAGGCCCAAGAGGGCCTCGAATGGCACCCAAAAGCAGTGAAAGTGAAGTCACGCGAACGCCCTTTCGCGTGATTTAACTTTCACTTCCATTGGGGGCCTCCGGGGGTTCTCTTGGACCCCCACAGGCGTTCCTAACGGCCCCAGAAAGGCCAAAAAGAACCCCGGGAAAATACCAACCGGCCCCCAAGAGGAATGTAACTTATGTCACGCGAAAGGGCGCTCGCGTGTCTTCACTTTCACTGCTTTTGGAGGCCCTTCAGGGCCCTCTTAGAGCCCTCTTGGGCCTTGCTTATTTGGCCTTGTGCGCCGCAATCGTGCGGCAGCTTCCTGGTGATATGCGTCTGCGCTTCGCAATCGCGACGCGATTCCGAGGAAATGCGAAGTTCCACTGCCTGTACGCGAGCATAGCGATCGCGCGAAATAGTTTCATCAAACAGTGCTGGCACTTTTTGCATTGCGTATTTCTGATATGTGGTGTAATACAAGCAAGCCAGATTTCGATACATGCGTAGATAGCGCTTGAAACAACGAACTTCGACTCCGACCGCGCCAACACGCAGGCAGCTGTAGTGAGGCGAGCCCCAGGCGGTACTGAAGAAGGCTTCGAAGGGCCCCCCCTGGGGCCTCGCCGAGGCCCCTCATACAGATCTAGAGAGCCCAAGAGAGCTTCAAGAGAGCCCGAGAGAGCCCAGATACGCCTTCCCACCGTCCCTCGCTTGTCTCCCAGTCTCCTGTCATTCGCTCCCTCCGCTCCTTTTCCGCGCCTTCCTCCCATCCTCTTCACTCTCGTTCATTATGCTCCCGTTTTCTTCCCCTGCGGCGGATGGGGGTGGGAGGAGGGCGGGGGTAACTGCAACGTGTGTCCCCGCCGACGCGGAGCATGTGCAGGTAGTTCCCGTGGTTGGGGCGCTCCTGGCGGGCGATCGCCCTCCTCGTCGTCTTCTGTTTTGCGAGCGCTCTTTGCATATAGCGTGGACACACTAAATAAAACAAACTCCATATATTCAGCCGCTCAGCGAAACCAATTAGGATAAATTGCAGGTCCAGCCACACGCAGGTTCGATTCGATGATTATATGGGTCACAATCCAATATTTGTGTTCGCGGCTGCTGTGTCAAGGTGCGTTAAATTCGTCGTTTCGGGCGTTGACCCCCGGGGGTGTGCAAATCGCCCGTTCCTGCAGGGAGCGCGCCAGAATGTTATCAGACCTCTTCGGGCCCCCCTCGTGGCGGTCAGGGTCGCTCCCCCCCCTCTCTCCGCCAACCCCTGCTGCGCCCGCTTCTCCCGTGATTTTCACTACGACCCTACTCGCGCCATCGCTTGTGATATGGGGTCACGATGTGTGTTATAGAACACGTTGACTTTCTGAAAAAAGTGAGTTCGAAATCGTGGCAAGTTCTGTTGGGGCGCCGCGGTGGAAACGTGTCTTTCAGGCCTCGAGATGGCTCCCCTCATAGACGGGCCAGCGGCGATATAGCTAACGGCGATGTGGGCTTCGGTAGTGTGAGAGTGCGTGGCTCGCGCTTTCCTACAGTTCGCTGTGTCGTGTTCGCTCGACCCATTCGAAGATAGAACATATAGGAAAATGTGGGTCGCGATGTCCTACAATCCGGTTCCCTTCATCACCATTAAGCAACATCGCCGCTATCCCGGCCTCCTCCCCTCCCTCACCAGGCGGTCCAGAACCGCGGCATCATGGACCTCCGCGCGGCCATCCGCGACGCCAGGCCGTCTGCTGCAGGGGAGGGGGCCGGCAGCCGCGCCCCCTTGTCGCTAGCTACTCCGCCAGCGCCGCCGCCAGGAGGCTTCGGCGGAGGAGGGCAGAGGAGGGGGGGAGGGCAAGCTGGGTGCGCTCGCGTCATATCTGACGTCCTACCTTTCCCTCTTTTCCCTTACCATGGCGTAGATCTCCTCTCTATTCGCACAGTCGGATGTCGAGCGGGGCAGTGATCGCGAGAGGCTACGCAATACATGGTAGAGCACGGCATGGCATGGCGTAGAAGAGCACGGCAGAGCGTAGCATGCCGTAGCACGGCGTGGCGTTGCGCAGTGAAGCATTGCATCACAAAGCAAGCATTACAACTCAAAGCGTGGCATCGCACAGCGGCGCAGAACACAACACCGCACAGCATGTCATGGCATGGCGCTGGGTTCCTTGGGAGGTAAGTGGATCGTCTTCGAGAGGTCTGGGTCGGTCTGCAGTTGTGGCTCCATGTCTAGCTCCGTGGGCTCCCCGAAAAACTCCACACAAGGAGGGGCTGATAGAGAGCACCCGCTGGCTTTGCTTTCAACATCGCCTTCTCAAAGCAGAAGCGGGGTTCCCGCTCGATATTTCCTGAAAGCGGCGACGCCCCAAAGTGGGGGGAGAGCTTCTGCGGCCCAAAAAATCAAGGAATCGACACCGAATGTGTAATCACTTCTGATGTTTTTTTCGGGTGGGCATTTTCTGGATGTTGGGGCCCATTTGGAAGGACCGAAAACGCCCGCACTGCAGCGGGAGCGCTATTTGGAACAACCAGAGGCGCAGAAATGGGGCCAGCGCTTCAGCGTGAGCAGCATTGTTAACAACAAACCCAAGCGAAAACCCAGTGCCCCGGAATCTAGTGTGTCAAACAAATACGTGGAGGGGGGCCGGATACCGTCCGGACGTCATCAGGGGAGAGAGGAGACTTATATTCAAAGTGTGTACTTAATTGTGGAGGGGGCAGGAGCGGGGGGACGGGGGGAGGTGCGAGGGGGAGGAGGAGGTGCGAGGAGGAGGAGGAGGAAGCGTAGAGGAGGAGGAGGAGGAGGAGGAGGAGGAGGAGGAGGAGGAGGAGGAGGAGGAGGAGGAGGAGTAAGGGAAAGCAAAAGCAGGACTTAGGAGGGGGGAGGGGGAAAAGGAAGAGGACGAGGAGGAGGTGGGACGCGGGAGGAGTGAGGGGGAGGAGGAACAGGAGGATGTCGTCAGCAGGAGGTGGCCAAGGAGCAGAAGGGGAGGGAGGGGGGCATGGGAGGGGCAGAGGAGGAGGAGGAGGAGGAGGAGGAGGAGAGTGGAGGAGGAGGAGGAGGAGGAGAGTGGAGGAGGAGGAGGAGAGTGGAGGGGAAGCGGTGGGGGATCGTGATGAGGAGAGGGCCACGACGAAGACGACGACGACGGCCCGAAGCTCCGCGCGCGGGGTTCGGCCGCTCGTGCTGCCCGCCAGTGGGGGCGAGCGCGAGCGCCGCAGCCGCTCTGCTCGGCCTGCTCGATCCACCGGGGAGGCCTGGGTCCTCCCTGTCTCCCTCCCTCCCGCTCCCTTCTTCTTGACCCCCCCCCATCCCCACATCCTCTCTCCCTTCCCCCTGCTCCCGCCAATCTCGCTTCCCCTTTTCGCCACAGTTGTCAGCCCTACAGTGGTCAGGGCCAGCCTGTTCGAGGAGACTGAGCAGGAGTCGTGCCTCATCCTCCTCCGTTAAGCTCGTCTTTCTGTGGCTACTTCTTGTCTAAAGGAACAAGGTCTGCCATCAATCATTGTGTACAGTTTCTTGCTCATGCCACCGTTCGACGACGATGACGCCTTCCCGCCAAGCGCTCGGCTCCCTCTTCGATCGGGCCCCAAGCGATACAGCTTGGGATCCCTACTCGCGTCTCTCGTCCAAGTAGTCCGATTGCGCATTCGGCTTCACGAACCAGCAGCGGGCTGGATCATACACATACCAATACCAATACCCATACAGTACCCTCCTCCCGCTCCCCCATCCCTTCTCCTTCTGTATGTATGTGTTTATATATATATATATATCCTGTCGCGCCCCCGCGTGTCGATAGGGTGGGCCGGGCATTCTGACAGACGTTCTCACTGTTTATGATACTGGAGCCTGGGATACGCAACATCTTCACGGATGGAGCCAGGCCCGCTGTTGAAATGTGGTTATCGCCGTAGAGCCATGCACATTCTTCACCACAAGTCGCAACAGCCACACGGATGAAGTGGGGCTGGTTTTAAAAGTATAGCTTCAGTTTTAGCGCCGCGCACGCTTGTTTTGAAAATTCGCAATTGTTTCACGGATGGATTGGGCCGCTTTTCACAATGTCGTTTTCGCCTTCAGTTTGCGACAATTTCAAGGATGACCGGCGGTTCATTTCAAGATGTCTCGCCTTGGCGCACTGCACATTCGCGTTCAAAGCTCACATCGGCTTGCTTCACGGATAAGGGCCGTTCCTTTTCAAATAGTGGTTTTCGCCATAGCGCCATGCAAACCCGTTTTAAACATGTGCAGCAGCTTCACGGAGGGAGGGGGGTCAACATTGAGGCTCCCGCTTTGGCCCCGCACACATGTGTCTTACAAGCTTGCAGCAGCTTCAGAGATGGAAAGGGGGGTCGTTCCGCACGCATTCATCTTAAACACTTGTATTCGCTTCACGGTTGGACGTCTGTTCTTCTTCAAAGTGGGACTCTGGTTGTAGTGCTTTGAACAATAGTTCCAAACGCTTGCATCGTCTTGCAACAGCTTCCAGCATTGAGCACGGCTCGTTTTCAAAAGTTTTCGTTCGGTGCAGCGTCGCGCGCATCTGTTTTTGTCATGCAGCGTCTACCAGGATGGAGGGCTGCACTTCTTAGAGTTTCGGCCCTCGCTCGAGACATCCTTCCGATCGTAAGGCCCCATGCTTCAACGCGTGTGACGCTGGACGGATCCAGGACGGCTCTCGTGCAGAATGGGGCCGCCGTTTGAGGTTTCCTCGAAGTTCATGGCCACAAGTGTACACGTGGGCAACTGTTGCGCGGATGGGGGATGGTCCTTTTCCAGAATGGGATCTGGCAGGATAATTATTTCGTCGACTTGTATTGTCATCGTTTCCGCGTTCCTCACCAGAGAGACGCAAGGCAAGTCCTTTTCAAAGCGGGACCTTCGCAAACACAGCAGGCCAAATTGTTTTGTTTTTTTTCCAGGGGGGTGCTTCTTGCAGCGAAGGGATGGCTTGCAGGGGAGTGTGAGGACGGGGCTTCGGACCCTTGGTTTGTTCTGCTCCTCCTCCTCCTCCTCTTTCTCTTCCTCTCCTTCGAATCGCCCCCCAGACTTTTTTCAGGGGTTTGTCCTGGCCAGAAGTTTGAGAAGAACCCCTCCGCGGCGAGAACCTTCCAGGGGCCATCAAACATGATTCACATAGCTGCTTGATCCTTGGGAAGAAAAGAGAGGATCAAGGACACGCGGCCGGTGGGAGCCCACCAGCGTGTTGCTCCGTCGGTCTTGCCCAGCAAGTTGCTGGCTCTTTCCCAGTCGCACGCTGATGGGCTTCCCATGGCGGCGTGTGATTGCTACTGGTTTTGCTCCGTCCGACCCTCGCGCCTCGATCGTCCCTCTGGTTCCCGCCCTTGCCCCCCCTCATGCTCCGCGCCGACGCCCCAGCGGCGATCGGCGCGTCGCGCGGCCGCGCCGCTCTGCCCCTCTGGCGCGGGCGCGCTGCCGGCCAGGGTCCACCCGAGGACCCTGCACGGCGCCGCCGCCGCGGCTGCCGTCGGCGCCGCCGTCGGCGCCGCCGAGGTCGCCGCCCGTCGTGACTCGGTGCCGCCGCCGTCTTCGACAGTCGGCTTCGTCGCCGTCATCGACCTGGCTGGACGTCGGCGCCGTCGTCTTCGTCGTCTTCGTCGTCGTCGTCATCGTCGGCGCCGTCGGCGCCGTCGTCGTCGGCGCCGTCGTCTTTGTCGGCGACGGCGGCGGCGTCGTAGTCGTCGTCGTCATTTCCGCCATCGTGAACGTCGTTGTCGTCGACGCTCGAGGTTTTCTGACATTTGTCGGCCCTGCGCCTGCCTGCGGAGAGGCTTGCGGAGAGGAGGAGGAGGAGGAGGAGGAGGAGGAGAGAGGAGGATGAGGGAGGAGGAGGAGAGGAAGGAGGTGAGGAGGGGAGGAGGGGGGCGGGGGAGGGGAGGAGGGGCGACGAGGGGACAGGAGAAGGGGGAGGAGGAGGAGTACGAGGGGAGGAGGAGAGGAGAGGAGGAGGAGGAGGGGCCTGGAAGGCGAGGAGGAGGACGAGGAGGAGGGGGAGAGGACGGGAGGAGGAGGAGGAGGACGAGGGAGGAGGGGGGAGGCAAGAGAGAGGAGAGAGGGACAGGAGGAGGACAGCAGGAGCAGGAGCAGGACGAGGAGGAGGAGTGAGTCGGAGGTGAGAGGAGGAGGAGGAGTGATCCGCAGCACAGCAGGAAGAGGAGCACGAACAGGTGAGCAGGAGCAGGGCAGAGAGCCAGAGCGGTGAGCAGGAGCAGAGCAGGAGCAGGAGCAGGAGGAGGAGGTGAAGGCGGAGGAGGAGGAGACAGTGACGCCAACAGGCTTAGCCCTATACTCTAACGTAAAAAGTAAGATGGGGAGCAGGAGGGAGGAGGAAGATGAGGAGGAGAAGGAACATGAGGAAGAGGAGGAGGAGATGGAGGGCGAAGGGGGGAGGGGGAGGAGGGGGAGGAGGGAGAGCAGGGACAGGAGGGGGAGGAGGGAGAGGGAGAGGGAGGAGGAGGAGGAGGAGGAGGAGGAGGAGGAGGAGGCAATCCAAGTAGAAGTATAGTTGCTGCGGCTTCATGCTCGAATGTGGGTACGTTTGCTGCTGAGTGCATGTACTACCGTTGTCTGGTGTAGCTGCTGGTAGCTGTTGAAATCTGTGTGCCTTTGCTGCGCCCCTTCGGCCATTCAAATATGGTTCGTGAGCTGCCCGTGGCCACTGACATTAGCAGGCTGGCTGTTGACTGCGTTTGCTACAGTGGTGTGGTATAGCTGCTGGTAGATGTTCAAATGTGGGTACGTTTGCCGTGGCCATTCTGCAGTTGAGATGTGCGTCGTTCGCTGCCCGTTGCAGTTGGAATGTGGGCGCGTTTGCTGCCGAGTGCGTTTGCTACCATGGCGTGGTATAGCGGCAGGTAGCTGTTGAGATGTGGGTATCCCATGTGTACCCATGTCGCGTTGTGTGCAAATCCGTGCGGGCGCGCACGCAAACTCAGAGAAGCAGCGCTTCCTGTTTGTGTCTGGATAGGTTCTGGGAAATGGCCGTTTCGCCGGAGACATCCTGGACAGATCGGCTCCAGAGAGGACTCCGAACCAGTATTATCTTAGAATCGCTCCCGGAGGGTTTCACAACGACCCAAGAGAGCTCCCGAAAGCCCCCAGGGGATCCCAAAAGCGCCCTGAGAGGCCCACAAAAGGCACCCAGATGCCCCCAAGAGCGCCCGACGAGGCCCTGGGACTGCCCAAGAGGGTCCCAAGACAGCCCAAGGCAGCACCAGGAGGCCCCCAGACGGCCCAAGACAGCCCAAGATGGCGCCAAGGCGGCCTGACAGAGCCCCCACAGAACCCGAAGACACGCCCAGACAGCTCAAGAAGACCTCTGTAGCCCCCAAGAGGACCCCGACAGACCCCCATGAGACCCCAGGATGCCCCCAAGATAGCATCAGACGGTCCCAGCAGCCCCCAGGGTAGCCTAAAGTGATCCCCCTTCTTCGACGTCCTTTTCCTCAGCTCCTTACCGTCCTCCTTCGTCGTCGTCGTCGTCGTCCTTCTCCTCCTCCTCCTCCTCCTCCTCCTCCTTCACCTCCTCCTCCTCCTTCACCTCCTCCTCCTCCTCCTCCTCCTCTTCCTCCTCCTCCTGCTCCTCTTCCTCCTTTCCCTCCTCCTCCTCCTCCTCCTCCTCCTCCTCCTCCTCCTCCTCCGCGTCGTTCCTTCTCGTACTCGTCCTCCATATGTTCCTCCTCGTCCTCGTGCTTGTTTTCCTACTCGCTGTCCTCCTGCTCCCCCTTCGCTGCCGTCCTCGTCATCCACGCTGTCATCCTCGCCATCCGCGCCCTGTCGTCGCCATCATCATCTTTTCTTGCCCACCTGTTAGCGCAATGGGCAAAATCTGTGCTTCCCGCTCTTGTCTGGTCAGGCTCCAGTTAGGTTCATTTCCAAGCTGGGTGGCAAGCGGCGTCGGGCTGGTCCAGGGCCTTACCCTGTATTCGCTGTCGCGTAGTTGCCGGCTCGAGCGCGACCAATGCAATTCTGTTCGCACATTCCTACTCCGAGTTTCTGAATCAGCGTCGGGGGAGTGTCACCCCTGCCAACGGCCCCACATCGACCCCCGTCGCGGGCAGCCGCCGCGCGCCGAAAGTGCTCCGACCCCCGTCGCGGCGCGACGACGAGGCGAGGTTGACCCCCGTCGGGGGGGTACCCTCCGAGGCAGGGTATTCCCAAACCAAAAGGGTCTTCCCAAACCAGATGTTGCAGAACCAGAGCGTCGGGTTTTCCCAGACCAAACCCCGGGTCTTCCTAAACCGGCCAGGTCTTCCCAAACCAAACGGATCTTCAAAAACCAATTGGCCAGGTCTTCCCAAATCAACCAGGTCTTCCGAAACCGTCCCCCGGGTCTTCCCAAACCAAACGGGCCTCCATCAACCCAAACCAACCCCCTGGGTCTGCCCAAACCATTGGGTCTTCTCAAACCAGCCCCCCAGGTCTTCCCAAACCAACAGGGTCTTCCCAAACCGTTCCCCACAGCTCTTGTCGCCTAGTTCTCGCTTTCGTTTCGCTTCCGTTTCTGTCCTCGTTTCCGCCCTCGTTCCCGCCCTTCGTTCTTGCCTTCGTTTCGCTTTCGTTTCGCCATCGTTTCTGCTTTCATTCTCGCCTTCGTTTCGCCCTCGTTTCCGCGCTCGTTATTGCTTTTGTTCTCGCCGTCGTTTCACCCTCGTTTCCGCAGTCTTTCTCGCCTTCGTTTCGCTTTCGTTTCGCTCCGTTTCCGTCCTCGTTCCCGCCTTCGTTTTCGCTTTCGTTTCGCTTTCGTTTCGTCCTCGTTTCCGACCTCGTTCCCTCCTTCGTTCTCGCCTTCGTTTCGCCAACGTGTCCGCCCTCGTTATCGCCTTCGTTTTTGCCTTTGTTTCGCCGCCGTTTCCGCTCTCGCTCTCGCCTTCGTTCTCGCTTTCGCTTCGTCTTCGTTTTGCTCTTGTTTCCGCCCTCGTTCTCGCTGTCGTTCTGCCCTTCGTTTCGTTTTCGTTTCGCTCTAGTTTCCGTTCTCGTTGTCGCCTTTGTTCTCGCTTTAGCATCGCCTTCGTTCTCGCCCTCGCTTCCAAACTCGTTCCAGCCTTCGTCGTCGTTGTCCAAGTCGACGTCAACGTTGTCGTCGTCGCCGTCGTCGTCGTTGTTGACGTCGTCGTCGTCGTCGTCACCGCCGCCATCGTCGTCGTCGTTGTCGTTGTCATCGTCGTCGTCGTCGCCGTCGTCGCAGTCGGTCGTCGTCGTTGCCGTCGCCGTCGCCGTCGTCGTCCTCGACGTCGTCGTCCTCGACGTCGTCGTCGTCGACGTCGTCGTCGTCGTCGTCGCCACGGCTTGGTTCCTTTTTCGAATTTAGGGTGAGGGCGCCCCTCCAGAAACCAGTCATCTAGTGTTGCTTTTTTGGCGACGTGGGCACCCAGTGGTCTGGAGGCTTTCCCTGATTAGGGCCGGTTTTCGGTCCCGAGTCGTCTTTGATGGTCCCGGGGCCTGTTGAGGGCCACCGGAAGCCGGGCGCACGCGTGCCAATTCGATGATGCATCATACTTTAGTGTTCCGCCCGCTCGATTTGATCCGCTTGTCAGGTTCAACCCGCCCGACCCGACCCGCCCGCCCGACCCGTCCGTTAGGGCACACGTGCGCCAATTCGATGATGCATAATGCTTTAATGTCCCGCCCGCCCGGCACGACCCCTCGTTAGGGTACGCCTGCCCGACCTGACTTGTTTCGCCCGCCGGACTCGACTCGCCCGCCCGACCAGCCTGTTAGGCTGCACTCGCGCCAACTTGATGATGTATTATACTTGCTTGTCCCGCCCTGCCGACCCGACCCGCCCGTTGGGGTCCGCCCGTTCGACCCGAATCGCCCCTGTTCTCGTTCTCGTTACCGCCCTTCGTTTTCGTCTTCGTTCTCGCCTTCGTTCATCTTTCCTTCCGCCATCGTTTCCGCTCTCGTTCTCGCCTTTGTTCTCGCCTTTGTTTCGTCTTCGTTTGTCTTTGTATCCGCCCTCGTTTCCCGCCTTCGTCTCGCCTTCGTTTCGTTTTCGTTTTCGTTCGCGTTCTCGCCTTCGCTCTCGCCTTCGTGTCGCCCTCGTTTCGTGCTCGTTTCCGTCTCGTTACCGCTTTCGTTCGCGCCTTCGTTTCGTTTTCGTTTCGCTTTGGGTTCCGCTCACGTTCTCCCCTTGTTCTCGCTTTCGTTTCGCCGTATTTCGGCCCTCGTTTCCGTTCTCATTCCCGCCTTCGTTCTTGCCTTCGTTTCGCCCCCGGTTCCGGCCGAAACAACTGGGTTTTGTCAAACCGAGCTCCCAGGTCTTACCAAACCAACCGGGTTTTTCCAAACCAAGCGGGTCTTGCCAAACCAAGCCCCCTGGTCTTCCCAAACCAACCTGGTCTTCCCAAAAACCAAGCCCCCAGGTCTTCCCAAACCAACCGTATCTTCCCAAACCAACCAAGTCTTCCCAAACCAAACGGGTCTTTCTTCCCCAACCAAGCCCCCGGCTCTTCCCAAACCAAACGGGTCTTCCCAAACCAACCCCCCAACTTCACAGACCAACTGGGCTTTTCAAAAACCAAGCCCCAGGGTCATCCCAAACCAACCTGGTCTTCCCAAACCAACTAGGTCTTCCCAAACCAAACGGGTCTTCCCAAACCAAGCCCCGGGGTCTTCCTAAACCAACGGGGTCTTCCCAAACCAACAGGGTCTTCCCAAACCAACGAGGTCTTCCCAAACCAACCTCCTGGTCTTCCCAAACCAAAAGGGTCTTCCCAAACCAAATGGGTCTTCCCAAACCAACAGGGTCTTCCCAAACCAAGCCACCGGGCCTTCACAGACCAACCGGGTCTTTCCAAACCAAGCAGGTCTTCCCAAACCAAGCCTTAGGTCTTCGCAGACCGAACGGGTCTTCCAAACCCACGGGGTGTTCCCAAACCAAGCCCCGGGTCACCCTAATCGAAGGTTTGGTTTGGGAAGGCCCGTTTGGTTTGGGAAAGGTGCCCCTCCGAGGTACCCCCCCAGTCCTATTCAGAAACCCAGACTGCTCTTTCTTCACACTTCGCGCCTCAGAGGACTCGGCCAACGGCCCAAGCACCGGCGCCCCCGAGGCCGCCGCGGCCGCGGCAGCAGTGGCTTGCAGCAGGCGCCGGTCGAGCACAAAGCGTGTGTGTGTGTGTGTGCGTGTGTGTGTGTGTGTGCGTGTGTGTGTGTGTGTATGTGTGCGTGTGTGTGTGTGTGCGTGTGTGTGTGTGTGTGCGCGTCCATGTGTGAGTATCCGTGCGTGTGTTTGTGTATGTATGTGTGTAGCTGTGTGTGCGTCTATGCGTGATTATTCGTGTGTATGTGTGTGTGTGCGTCTATGTGCAATTATGCGTGTGTGTGATGCGTGTGTGTGTGTGTATGTGTCGCTGTCGATCCCCTATTCATCTTCTCTATGCTGTGTGAGCTGACCCGCCGCGCGCTTTGGCCTTTACGCCAAAAGCGCGTGCGCGCGTGTGTCTCTTTCTATCCTGCAGGGCCACCCGCGTCGCATACGGGCTCGCTCACCGTCGGCCCTCTTTTCTCCACTTTATTTCCCCGTCGTGGCTTCCTTGCTCTTGATTGCGACGCCTGCACGCACAGCTCAGCTGTCGGCTACATCCGGCGCTTGCTGGAAGTCCTGTCTTTTGCATGTGTCCTCAAAGTCCAGGTGGATATTTGTTAACGTGTCGCTCATCCCCATCACTTCAGTTAGAAACGATGCCGAGACAGAAGGCAGCCGTTAAGCGAAAGCAGGCGAGGGGAGCAGGGTGGTTGCTGGGACGCCTCGTTTCGAAAGGGGGGAGGAGGGAGAGGGAAGAGGGTGGGAAGGAGGAGGAGCAGGGGGAGGAGAAGGACGTTTTTTGGAGAGGGTGGTCTGTTCCCTCCCCGAAGAAGTACAAGAGGGTGATCTGTGTTTTTCTTCTCTCTATCTTTCTCTCTCTCGCTCTCCCTTACTTTCGCCCCGGAGGGCGTCTTGGGGCCATATTTGTGGGGGGGCATTTGGAACCATGTTCGAGGACACCGATCTTGGAGGCCATCTTGGGCTATCTGGAGCCCTCTGGGACCATCGCTGAGCCCTTTGGAGGGTCTCTTGGGGCCCTTCTTGGGAGCCCTGAAAGCCCTCTTTGGGCCAGGCCGGGGGGCATCGATCAAAGAAGGGGGGGGGCTCTTCATTAGCGTTACCCATCTTGAGCTCCAACTGTAGTTTCTTGGGACGTTTCTGGGGCGCTCTTGGGCCACTTGGGCCACTTGTTGGGCGCTCTTGGGGCCGTCTTGGAGCCCTCTTGTTGGGCCCCTCTTGGGGCTCTCTTGGGCAATCTTGGAGCTAGTCGTGAGGCCCGGGAGGCCCATCGGAAGCGAAAAGACGGCGAGAGCGCAGCACAAGATGCAGGTTTGCCGAAGGTGTTGGAAGGGTTTGGGCCTGTCGGGGGCGTCCTTGGGAGGCTCCGCGGCCACTTGAGGCGCTCCAGAAAGGGCCTCGCCGTCGAGGATCGAAGGAGTTGCCGCGGCTGAAGGCGGTGGAGGGCGGCGGAAGGTCGGCGGAAATGAAACGAGGCCGCCTCCGCCGGCGGAAGGCGGTGGAAGGCGGCGGAAGTAAAAGATGTTCCCCCAAGAGGAGCATGCTTTTGGGTTCCTTGACCCATCTCTTGGATGCCACCTGGAGGTCTCTGGGGCCATCCTCGAGCCATCTTGGGCGCTCTGATCGCTCGCCGCCCCGCCCGTCCAGACCAAGGGAGAGGGGGTAATTAGGTTGAGGGGTAAACCCCTCCCAGAAGGGGAAGTGGGAAGATAGAAGAGGAACCGCGCTAAACCGCCTCCGCCCTAAAGGGCTGGTGGGATATTCTACGCAGAGTCCCTGGTAGTTTCATTGCCGCCGACTGTGACCGATCAGCGAGTCGGAGAGGAAGCGTGTATATCTATGTATCTCGCCACCAGCCTTCGCCTCGAACAATTCCGGGGCCTGTGCCGAGTATGGGGCCCCCTCCCCTATATGTACTCCTGCAGCGCGAGCTGCAGTCCGTATCTGCCGCCCGGCTGCGTGGGACCGCGCACGCCTCCCACGCCGTCTTGGGCTGGCCCGCTCGCGCGCTTCCTCCCCCCTCCTGCTCCCGCTCTCCTGCCGCGCGCCGCCCCTGCCGCGGCGGCCCCCGGCCTCCTCGCCGCCTCGCCGCCTGCTCTCCTCGACCCCCCCCCCCCTGGCGCACCGGGAGCAGCACGGCCCCACACAGCACACGCCCCCCCCCCCACCGGGAGCAGCACCGGCCCCACACAGCACCGGAGCAGCACTGGCCCCACACAGCACACGGCCCCCCCCCCCCCCCCCCAGGAGCACGCGCCTCGCCTCGCAGGGGCTGCCGCCCTCCGATCTCGTGCCCCGGTCGCGCCGCGCCGCCCAGGAGCGTGGGGTTGCGCTACATCGCCGATCTATCGGTGATGTGTCGCCGATTCCAGGTCGATGTGTTCCCCCCTGGGGCGGTCCCCCTGGGCCGGTCCCTCCCCTCTCCTCTTCGCGACTTGCCATCCTTGCCCGCTGGGATCGGGGTCGGTCTGCGCTGCCGCGGCCTCTTGGCTGGTTGGCGCCGTTTCCCCTGCTTTCCTGGCGGCTGCGCGGGGCGCCCGTGTCTCCTGTGCTCATTAACTACCCTCGCACCTGCTCGCCCATCTACTTCTCGTCGTTCCTCGTTTCGCCCCTTCTGAGAAGTTGTCTAAACCTCCCCCCACTACACAGAACACATTTCAGAAGGCGCGAGAACTTCTGAGAAGTCCCGCCGCCTTTGAGAAGGTCTTCTCCTTCTCATTTCCCCCCCTCGCTCGCCGCCGATCGTTGTGCTATTCGCCTCCCGCTTCTCCTGTTTGCAGGTAAGCCTACAGGCCCTTCCTGCCTACAGGCGTCCGCGTTACCCCGAGGACAGCGCCTAGAGGCGTTGCCCGTGGGGCCATTCAAGCTGCGAAGGCCTGTAGCGCCTATAGGTCGGAGGCGTTCGCAGAAGAGAGGAGCGTCGCGTATACGTGGGAATCCACCCAATGTGTCACTTTCAATGGGGAATGTTTGTTGTTTCTCTCTCGCTCTCTCTCTCTCTCTTTCTCTCTTTCTTTTCTCTACACACAACTACTCAATATGAATGCTGCTCTCCCTCTCCCCCGGCGACGTCCTGAGAGTTGCGCGCCAACCCCGTGTACTGTTTTCACAAAGGATGATCCGAGCTGGTTTCTCTTACGTGTTTTTTCTTACAACCCAAACGCTCTCGGTATTTCCAAAATGGGTCTCCCGCTACAGCGTGGGCCTCATTTCAGGATCGCGGCTTTGCTCCCATCGTTTAGTATGACGCTCCCGCCGCAGCGTGGGCCAGTAATCTGGATCCGGGTCCTTCCGCATCGCTGTCATACTCCTCATCCTCCTCATTCCCCCTTCTCCGCCTTCCCCTGGTCGTCCTTCCCTCCCGCTCCTTCACTCAAGTTCCTGCTGCTCGTCCTCCTCCGTCCTCATCATCTTCCTTTTCTTCCTGTTCATCCTCGTGCTCGTCCCCCACCTCCTCTTATACTCCTCCTGTACGCAGCTCCCACTGTTCGCTTGCGCATCGCACGATGGACTCTGTTTGAGAGGTCCAGGTCCGCTATGACACGCGCCCGCGGATCGAGACAACATGAGCACAGTGGGAAGGGCTGGCTGGGAGTGTTCGGATGTCAGACTTGGCGCGAGCGCACCCGGCGTGCTCTCTCCTTCTCTCCTTCTCTCCCTCTCCGCTCCTTCGCCTGCACGTCGACCTGGTCGGTGCTGCGCCCCTCCTGCCACCTCTTTCGTGTCTCGCGTCTTTCTGCTCTCGCTCTCTCTCTCTCTCTCTCTATCTTGCGCACCCGGGGCCGCTGTGCACACAGTATCCCCGAGGGTTGCGACACCCGACGCGTCGGCTGTTTACGGCGCGCCTGCGCTTCCTCCCCCCACGAATTGCGTTGTCGGTCGCCTCTCTCACCGCTGACGGCTCTGGCCTCCGCTTGCCATTCGTCGCTGTCGTCTTGGCTTCATGTGTTCCCCAGCTCCGCCCTTCTAGTGCATGACACCCGCTCGACATTTGTTCGCTCTGCAACCGCGCCAGTGCCTGCCCCAGCGCAACCGGGCTTGCACTGCGTGGGCGCGACACGCGCGATTGCAATTTACATCCACGTGGCCCGTTTGCGTCCCACTGGTTGTTGCTGCAGCACTGTGGAGGACGAACGCTGTGTGTGTGTGTGTGTCTGCATCGGTATTCACGTGTGTCTTCTTTCAGCGCGCACGCCCTCTTGTACGTCTTCTCTCCACCACTACCCCGTCGCCGTGCGGCGTCGGGAGACCGCTCCAGGCTTGGTGCGCATGGCTACCGAGGACAAGCGGTTACGCGTGTGTGCGCGCTGTATGCGCGCGACTCTCGATTGCCATTGTTTGCGTCGGCGAGTGCACATTCTGCAAATTGTCCAGGAACTGCCGACGCGGTCGTATTCCACGGCGTCGGTACAGGCAAAAGCGTGCGTGCTCGCGCGGCCTCAATGCAATCTTAGGTTTCCGCGGGCTGTTGCCTCTCGGCACGCGCTTGCTGCATGCCGCGCCCGAACAGGGGAACATCGTGCCTGCGCGTGCGTGCCTCCGCGCGTCTGTGAACGCGTGCGCGTCTGAGGTTGCGTGCGCATGCGCAGGCCCACTCCGTGTGCTGCTGACTGTGAAGGCATGACGGCCTGTGCCGCCGACCCATAAGGACGATGACGACGACGACGACGACGACGGCCACGACGACAAAACGACAACGGCGAGCAGATGACCCTGCCACAAGCTCGGGACATGGGGCGGGCGGTGGAGGGAGGGGGAGGAGGAGGAGGAGGAGGAGGAGGAGGAGGAAGCGAAGGAGGAGGAGGAGGAGGAGGAGGAGGAGGAGGAGGAGGTAGATGATGATGATGATGATGAGGATGATGATGAGGAGGAGGAGGAGGAGGAGGAGGTAGAGGAGGAAGAGGAGGAGGAGGAGCAGGAGGAGGAGGAGGAGAGGAAAGCAAGGGGGAGAAGACAGCACCTTCTCTCTCTCTCTCTCTCTCTCTTTCTCGCCTCTCCCTTTTCAGGTTGGTCTTGAGCTGCGTTCACCCGTAGGTGGGCGCTAGTGTGTCCTGTTCGACTGGACCTCTTCATGCGATGCGAGGAGGAGGAGGAGGAGGAGGAGGAGGAGGCCCGAACAGGGGAAAATCGTGCCTGCGCGTGCGTGCCTCCGCGCGTCTGTGAACGCGTGCGCGTCTAAGTTTGCGTACGCATGCGCATGCCCACTCCGTGTGTTGCTGATGCTCCTAGGCCCTGGGTGACCACGCGCATGCCGCGCGACGCGCGTCCGAGGCGAAGGTCTGCACGCGTGTGCGTCAGCGCACGCAACAGGGGTCGGAGCGTGTGTTTCCTCGGGCCTCGGGCCGTCCTTCTCGCGTTTGTGAAAGAAGTGCGCTTGCACATGCATCCGTGCGCGCGTGAGCGCGCATGTCTGTGAGTCTGTTCGCCTCTTCACGTCACAGGTCGCCTACCCCTCGTGTACGTCTTCCCTTATCCCGTCTTTCAATATGTTGTCGGTTGATGGTGCCTCCCGCGCCCTCACTCCCATAGCGATGTGCTACGGCATGGTAGTCTTCACTTGGCGGTCGCTCGTGTCGGACGCGTTCACGATCTGCATCACTCGCGCACTCGCGCGTCATCACTCGCGTACTCGCGCGTGAATGTGTGCGCGCGTGCGTGCGCGCGTGTTTCTGCGTGTGTGTGTGTGTGTACGTGCTGCTCCGCCTCGTGGCAGTGCGCGAGGCCGCGACGCAAAGTGTGTGTGTATGTATGTGTGTGTGTGTGTGTGTGTGTGGGTGAGTGCGTGTGTGTGTGTGTGTGTGTTTGTGTGTGGGTGTATGTATGTGCGTGTGTGTCTTCGGTGCTTTCGGTGCCATGTCGCTGCGGGGCCGCAGCCGTGGGCGGCGCAGGGCTCTTGAGCGTGCCGCCTGCCGAGCCTCCCTAGGGCTCTCGAGCGGTCGCCTGCCGAGCCGACTCGGGGGCACAGCCTGCCTCCACCGAGCTGCCGTGCTGAGGCTGCGCCCCCCCAGCACACCGAGGCAAGGATCGAGGGCCTTCCGCGGCCTCATCCAGCCCCAGGCCCCACGGGCGGGGCCCTTTAGCCCCAGGCCCCAAGGGGGGGGAACAAAACCAGAACCTTGCACAGCCCCTCAGAAGCGGAACACGAGTCCTAACACGGCGCCGACTGCTGACAGCGACGGCGAAAGCAGGCAAGGTTCAGACAAACGATTGCGAGGCCATCCGCGCAGCTGGCACTCTTGCTGCCCCGACGATCATGAGGCCAACCACGCAGCTGGCGCTCTACTGCTATCTCCATGTGTCACCGTAGTGGTGGTTTCCGCGAAGCTCCCTGCGGAAGCTCTCCTCCAGCTCGTTCAACACCTGCCACTCGGCTGCCGTGAACTCGCGGCGGCCACTGCCACGGGCGGAGCCGGAGGGAGGAGGCGGCGGCGGCGGCGGGCGCGCGTCCTGCGGCACGAAGGGCCGCTGCACCCTGCCCACGCCGAAGGAGCAGTCGAAGTCGTCGCCGAAGCCGCACTGCACCCAGGGCACGGCCGGGTACACGTCGTCGCGGACGTACGGCCAGACCTCCCACCAGGCGTAGAAGAGCGTGCGAAGCCGCTGCGTGGTCGCCATGGCCTCTTTGACCAGCTCCGCACGGCGCCGCACGAAGGGCTGGGCCGATCCCGCCTCAGCGCCCTAGCGGCCGCCATGGCGGTCCAGGCGGCAGGCATGAGGTCGCCCTCCGTCTCGTCGACGCTCTCTTCGATGTCGCCCCTCACCTCTCTGGGAGCGTACGCCTCGTCCTCGAGGGCGCCATCGCCACCACCACGCGGGAGATCTGCTCCTCGAACGCGTTCGCCTCTATGCCGAACGGCCTCCTCCTTCACTAGGACGGGGTCCGCGAGCACGGAGTCCTTGTCTGTCGATTCGGAGGCCTCCTTCATGCCCTCCTCCTCTTCGTCGCCTTCGCCCTGCCCCTTCCCCATACAGTCCTGCGCCAGCCAGCCCTCGGGCCATCGCGGCGCCTCCTTCCGCAGCTTGGTGGGCGTGGTGGCCGCCACCTGCCGCGGCGCTGTCGGAGGGGTGGATGGGGCATTGGCTCCCAGCCTGGGGCCGATCGCTGCCGCCGAGATGGCGGCGTCGCAGGCCCGGGCAAAGCCTGCCGCTGGCGCCACGGCAGCATGCCAGGCCGCATTTCTGCGACGCCTGGCGCTGCCTGGCACGCGCGCGCCCGCCGCTGCCAGCCGCAGGGCGGGTCTGGCGGCCCGCTGACGGTCCTGCCACGACCCAGGCAGGGCGGCCTCCGCCACCAGGCTCCGCAGCGCGGCCTCACAGGCCTGCTGACGCCTGCGGCGGGCCTCTCTCCGTGCCGCCGTCGGGCCCAAGGAGATCTCCTCCTGGGCGCGGCGCATGCCGGGCCGCCACACATCGGGCAGCCCCCCGAGCACAACCTTGTTGTCGTTGCACGCCGCCTCCATCGCAGTGGCCGCGACACGGAGGTAGGGAAATGAGAGAGCCGGTCTCTGCGCCCGCCGAGATGACGGGGCTTGGAAGAGGCACACACACACACACACACACCTCCTGCCTGGTGCCCAAGGCAGGCTTGAGCCCAAATGGCTGCGTGTGTGTGTGTGTGTGCTGGTGTGCGTGTGTGTGTGTGTGTGTGAGTGTGTGTGTGTGTGTGTGTGTGTGTGTGTGTGTGTGCGTGCGTGCGTGCGTGCGTGCGTGCGTGCGTGCGTGCGTGCGTGCGTGGCGGGTATCTTAATGTCAGCCGTTGGCCGCTTCGACCGCGGCGCATTCGTCCCACCGCCGCACGCCGAAAAGCGCAGCTCCGCCTTGTGCTCTGCGCTCTCGGTGG